TGCATTAGTTGGCATAGGCGTGCGCAGCCTATTGCATTAGGGTGTGCACCCTAAAGCACAAGCACACGCCGCGTATATATATGTATATACACATATATACACACATACACACACTGCTGTGTGTGTGTGTGTGTGCTGTGTGAGGGTGCTGTTAGTGTGATGTGTGTGTGACGGTGCTGGTAGTGTGCTATGTGGGTGAGGGTGTTTGTGTGTGCGTGCTTGTGAGGATGCTGTTAATGTACTGTGTGTGAGGGTGCGGTTTGTGTGTGTTTGTGTGCGCTTGTGAGGGTGCTATAAATTTACTGTGTGTGAGGGTGCTGTTTGTGTGTGAGGGTACTGGTAGTGTGCTGTGTGTGTGTTAGGGTCCTGTTTGTGTGTGTGAGGGTACTGTTAGTGTGCTGTGTGTGTGTGAGGGTGCTGTTTGTGTGTTTGTGAGGGTGCTGTATGTGTGTTGGTGCTGTATGTGTGTGGGTGCTGTATGTGTGTGGGTGCTGTGTATGTGTGTGGGTGCTGTGTATGTCTGTGGGTGCTGAATGTCTGTGGGTGCTGAATGTCTGTGGGTGCTGTCTGTGGGTGCTGTGTATGTCTGTGGGTGCTGAATGTCTGTGGGTGCTGAATGTCTGTGGGTGCTGTATGGGTGTGGGTGCTGTATGTCTGTGGGTGCTGTATGTCTGTGGGTGCTGTATGTCTGTGGGTGCTGTGTATGTCTGTGGGTGCTGTGTATGTCTGTGGGTGCTGTGTATGTCTGTGGGTGCTGAATGTGTGTGGGTGCTGTGTATGTCTGTGGGTGCTGAATGTGTGTGTGCTGTATGTGTGTGTGGGTGCTGTATGTCTGTGGGTGCTGAATGTGTGTGGGTGCTGTGTATGTCTGTGGGTGCTGTGTATGTCTGTGGGTGCTGAATGTGTGTGTGCTGTATGTGTGTGTGGGTGCTGTATGCGTGCTGTATGTGTGTGTGGGTGATTGTGGGGGTGGAGGTGGGGGTACATTTCTTGCTATCCCCCCTCCCTTCTTACCTTTTGTAGGGAGGGGGGATAGTGCTGCTGCTTTCCCTGGTGGTCCAGTGGAGAGTGAACTCTAGCCCCCTGTGGGGCTAGAGTTCACTCTCGCGAGATTTGAGCGTTGCCGTGGCAATGCTCATATCTCGCGAGAGGAACCCGGCGGAGCTGCCGGCAATAGCTCCGCCGGGTCCTCTCCTGCCTCCCTCCCTGCATGTGGGTCGGTGGGGAGGGAGGCTGAGAGCAGAGCCGGCGCTCGGATAGCGCCGGCTCTGCATGAGCTGACAGGGGAGATCCTGAGATCTCCCCTGCCGGTCTCAATACATAGGCGTGCCGCGGGGATTAGGGTGTGCCCAGGCACACCCAGCACACCCTGTGCGCACGCCTATGTTTGTTGGAGGCACCAATAAATATAAGCTTAATTTGTATCGATAATGAAAATTTTTATTCCTGTGAGATGTTGTGTAGGAAGGGGAGGGCCCCAGTGCACTGCTTTGCCCGGGGGCCCACAGTGCTGTAAGGATGGCACTGCTTGTGTGTGTCAGTGAGCTTGTATTTAGTGAGCTTGTGTGTGTCAGTAAGCTTCTATTTAGTCAGCTTGTGTGTGTCACCGAGCTTGTCTGTAGTGAGCCTTGTGTGTCTATACAAATGAGTTTGTTTGTAGTAAGCTTGTGTGTGAGTAAGAGTTTTGTCTGTCAGTGAGCCTATTTGTGTGTATCAGTGAGCTTGTGTTTTGTGTCAGTGAACTTGTCTGTCTTTGAGCCTGTGTATCAGTGAGCTTGTGTGCTTACTGTATACCTGTATACTGTATCAGTAAAGAAAGAATTACAGGGAATTGTGATGGGAATTTCAAACTTTAGGCCGAAATAGTGCAGCTGAATGGGAGAAGTTTTCCAACTCTGCTACTTTGGCCTTAAGTTTAAAGTTACCATCTCAATTCCCTGTAATTCTCTCTTTATTGAGTATCATCTGCACTATGATAAGTAGGCGGAGAATAATTATGTGGGTAGGAAAAAGTGGGCAGAGCTTTGCGGCAGTGGATTTGGTACATTTTCAAGGTACGCTAGTAATTGATAGCTGTGCTGCAAAGTGTCCCTGGAAATATTTTTCAAATGTTACCTCCAAACTTTATTTTTGTTTTGCAATCTGTATTAGCAAAACTTTTCAATGATGTTCGAAGAACAAAACATAACAAGAAGATTTGACAATCAAATTGGAACTGGGTAGTTTTGCTTAAAAGGACACCGTAGGCACTGTATCTGCTTCATCTCATTAAACTGGTTATAGTGTCTGGAGTCCCCTGGTACCACCATTTCTTTTAACATTAAACAGTTTTTAATGTTTTAAGGTTTTAACGCTAAACAAGAGTCCTCGGCAGTCCATCCCCTCTGTGCTGCTTTGGCTAATAAGGAAGTATTACCCTGAGCAGCAATGGACAGCTGTGATTGGCTGAGAGTGTCAGCTGACTGCTTTTAGCCTGTCAGAGCTCCAACTGACGGTATGAATGGGTATGACAACAAGGAAGTGTGTAACCTCTGCCTTAGCTACACGTACAGAAGGGGCCGGATTGTGGGTGGCCAGGGACTCTTATTTTGTGGCATACTGCGCAAACATGGTTCAACACTGAATGACGGGACAGTGCCAGGCCACTCCAGGCATTATAACCAATTCAAAGAGATGAAATGTTTATAGTGACTACAGTGTCCCTTTAAGTGTATGAGTAGAGGTTTGCATATTCAGGTATGTAGTGAAGCTGCTATGTGAGAGAGATTACATGATGTGAAGCCGGTTGTGGAAACCCTGTCCTCCCGGTGGGTGGGTGGGTGGGTGTGAGTGAGCCTGAGGTAACAAAAACAGCCATGAAACTGTTCTGTCATAAACACAAAGACTGTTAGTGACAAATAACTCTTCCTAGTTACATGAATGACAAGATAACCGGGTCTTCCAGTTATAAACATTGTAAGTCATTGTTACATGAACATTTTTCATGTTACAATAAATATTAATATTCAGCAACAACTGCCCTGATTGAAGTCAGTTTTGCTAGCAAAGAAATCCTGTCAGGAACAGACTCTTGTGTTAATAAAATATATATATGAATGTTGCCAAAATATATATTGCAGCATTTAGGACAAACATATTTACAGATTTCCAGCACAAGAATATAACTACACACACACAGTGTCATGGTTGATAAAGTGTATGCTTTTTTCCCCAAATGACTGCTTTATTTTAGCTAAGTTTCCGTTTTCAGCTGTTGGGGAGAGAGTTTTTAGTTTAGGGCACATATTTTCATAAATAAGGATAACCCATGCATGAGTCTGTTTTAGGCATAAGTTCCATCCTGGTGGCAGTGCTCTGGGACCCATTGAGGGGTGAAAATAGAGGGCATAAGAAGGTGATTGGATTCATATCTGTCAGGTAAGTGTTTCAATCTTTCTGAAAAGAAAGTTAAGTATTATTGTGTTTCTCAATATCCATATTGTTATTCAGTCTTGTAAGCTTTAATTTCTTCAGCTTTACTTGCAAAGGCTGTATATATCTGCATCTTTTGCTAGCTATTAGATATGCCACTAGTGAAACATGTTTAATGACATGCATGCATTCTTTCATTTGGGATATATCTACCAAACAGTATTTTAAAATGTTATTTGGTCAATGAAGTGTCCCTTTAAGGGAGAACAGCTTCTCCACTGATGTTTAAGTGAGTCCGAATCTACTACCTATCTTGAATAGGTGGGGAGATGAGCAGGAAACATTTTGTGCAGATTCACTGGTGTGTAGTTGGTACCACATTGCCACAAACCTATATTTTGTCTCCTGGTAGAGCTAATGAAACTAGTGATTGGGGATAAGAACTTTTCAACACTGATTTTCAGAGAACTTTCTTCCCATCATCCCATCTTACTTTCTCTGCAATGCACAACTGGGCCCTTTGCCATCAGGTGACCCTAAGTGAATGACCCACCCAATGAGCCCGCTGAGTGTGCGGGCCCCAGTGCAACTGCACTGGGGGTAGTTCCGTCACTATCTCACGGTCTCTCTGCTTTTCTGGTGACTTGTGCCTCTCCTTAGTTCACCTTTGTATTTCTAACTCTCATTTACAAGACTTTACAAGATTGTTCAGCATCCCGTATCCACCTAATTAGACTTTCCCTAAGTATTTTTTCTTTTAAGAAATAATTTTTTTAAATAGCTGATTTAGGAAGGATTCCCAATTTCCCAGCTATATTCTTCTCTACCTAATCTTCTCCTAATTCTCTATTCAAGCCTTAGAATGTTTACAGACATTATGGTAATATTAGCAATTTGTGTTTCATCTACCCATTATACAGCATTGATGAATAGGTAGATAGATTATAAATAGTAAGACAATTCAAGTCGCATGGTCCCTTTTTGTGAGACATGATTCCCACTCAGTCCTCCTGATCATCCAATAAACTAGCTTTGTCACACAGTGTCAGGAGGGCCAAGGGAAGGTGCATTGTGAGTTCATGATTTATATTTCATGCCTCAGTAGTCTCACTGTTCAATCACCTGCCTTTTAGAAGATAAATCACTGTTTATACAACCCTAGTCACACCTCCCTGCATGTGACCTGCACAGCCTTCCTAAACACTTCCTGTAAAGAGACATCTAATGTTTACACTTCCTTTATTGTACAGTATGTTATATTTAGAATTTGCCATCTCCTGCTCGGTTAATAGCCTTCTAGACCATGCAGAAGCCTCCTGTGTGTGATTAAAGTTCAGTTTTTCAAAGCAGGAGATACAAACTTCTAAAGTAATTTAACATCTGATGTGTGGCAAGGGTTGCATAAACAGAAACTGCCACGTGAGATAGTTCATCCCCATCTCTGCGTAATAGAGTCAATCTGCATTTTGGTTAAAATCAAAAGCAATGTGTGTCACTAAGGTCCTGGTAATTGCGTGAAAAGTAAAATATACAAGTACTCTTAAATCAGCGTTTAATTTAACATTTGTTATCACATTGACATTGTTGATTTTTTTAAAGTGACACAATACTTAACTTCCAATAATAATTATAATAATAATAATACACAAAAGAAAGTTAATGGATTACATATGAAAAGTGTTGCGCGTACAGTACATTCATGGATGTATAAAGTGTAATTCCACTGCAAAGTGCAAAAAGTGGTAAATCAGTACAAATATTTGGTTTCCATGGTAACTCTAGGGAAATCAGTGGGTAGCCCCACTTTTTGAACTTAGCAGCACAATTGCATATTCTACAAAACCTTGTAGTATTTATAGGCTATTGCTAAATATATTTTTACATTTTTTTTTAGATTTCCTGTATTTCTTAAAGGAACTCTGGATGGATTTTTTGTCAGTCTTTATTTTTACTGTGCTTAAAGTTACAAACAGGCTTGCAGCGCCACAGAGCAAGCGAACAACAAACTCATAAAACAGCAAATTTTCCTTGTTAAATTAGAGGAAACAGATTAGGCGTACAAGAAAAAGTTTCCATAAAGGAGTCAGGCTGGTTACGGTCTAGGTCTGCATAATACTGTACAAGATATAAAGAAACATTAAGCATGTCAAACTAGTAAAGTTAAGCTAGACCTGAGTGTGCCTTATAGGCAAAGTAAGTACCACTGAGACTGTCTGGGTAACACTCCAGGGCATATACATGGAAAAAACATATGTGTTGAAAGTAAATCAAAACAATAGTTTCTAATACTGTTCATCATTATACATCACTAAAGCTTGAGCGGTAGGCCTCTAGGAAATAAATGTCCCCTTTTATACAAGTCCCATACAGGGAGATGGCTGGTGATTTTCAGGAGGCTGCAGATCTATTCCTGTTTCAGCCGATCAGGCAGCAAAGCCGGCAGGCTATGGGCAAAGGCCCGGTGGTTAGCATCGCTTGGGTAGGGTTCTCCTCAAGCCCCAGGCCTGTGTGAGGGCTGGCATCGATTTTCCACAGACTTGGACCTATCCATGTACTAAGTCCTTTCTTCCTCCGGAGAATTATAGAGAACCAGGTGGTAAGCGCCGTCGTCGAGAAATCCTCCACAGGCGTTGTTGATGCAAAGAGGCTATGCCTCGTGGGGATCTTGATGGGTGTACAGCATGGGGAGGTTGCGCTGGCATAATAGGATCACCCTGAGGAGGACCCTGTCGGTCAGGCAGCAAGCTTCCTATGCTTTCGTTCTGTGTTCCCTGCACAGCAGCCCATGTGCGTTTGTGTATCTTCTTCTAGAAGCTCTGGCAGATTGCATAAAGCTTTCGTAAGGTACACTCTAAAGAGAAGTGACTTAGGTCCTGCTCCATGAGTTCAGGGGTGGACGCCATTTTGTGTGCGCAGCACTTTGAACCTACCGCAAGTAGTGGCCTGGAGCGTGAGATTAGGATTGGATGAGTAGCCCAAGAGAGTTCAGTGGGGACTGGGATAACCCCCACTGGTCCAGGGGGTAGGAGTGTAGTGATGCTGAACCGGGAACCTGAGGGCAAGGAGATCAGCCGCTTCTTCCTGGTTCTGTCCCCAGTAGGGCACAGCTTAGTTTTTCGAGTCACCAATCTGTTGTGGGTTCATACGAATCCTCTGGTCAGTCCTCGGGGAACCCCAGACTCAGATAGTGCTCGCGGTGGGTGTTCGTGCCAAGTGACAGTGTGAAGTACCCTAAAATCAACATATATTTCTGGAGCTCAGGATCTGCATGTCCACTCAGCTCAGGAGCTAGGCCCCACAAATGGATTACATTTTTAGTAGACATACTTCCAATGAGGACATGCATGCTAAGGGTGTATATCTAAAAAGAGCTTGCAAAAGCTGCAGATCTCTTGTCTGGAGCCTTTCCCAGCCCTCCCCTTTCTCCTTAGCGCAGACTTTCAGTATTTGATGGGGAAATGACCAATCAGAGGCTTTTCATCTGGAAGCCTCTGGTTTTGAGCCATGAGTGTATGCATGTACTTACACGTGTGAGTGTGCATGTGCAGGGCTTTCCAAGTAGGAGGCAGGGAACAGCCAAGTAAGACAAGCCCTGTGGATGTGCGCTCACAGGCTCACTGTGACTTGGGGGGTTATGGCAGGCACACTAAAGCAGGGCACCCCTGCCACTTCAGTTAGCTATAAGGAGATAATGGTATCAGGAATATAAACTCCCCACTTGTCTGACTGACAGCTAGGAAGAGCCAGATTAAACATAGGGGCTAAAGAAGCCGGATCTCCAGGACCATACTTATGGAATAGGTCCATTGATTTGCATTTATTTTATTTTTTTTCACTACTTTTCTACTTTTACTGATTGCTCTTGCTTTGTGCAGAGATAATTAAATATGGGAACCTAGGAAGGCTGTAGGGGAACACAACTAGTGTGGGCTGGCTGAATTTAAATTAGTATAGGCAAAGCTGACTTTGAACACTGTGCAAATGCTCTTGCTGATTTGGTCTCTCTACATTCACCACATCCAATTGTCCAATTGTTCTCTGTCCCAGACTGCATACTGGGAGCTTCTGCCTGCTAGGAGTGGACAAGTGAGTTCAAAGGGACAGTCCCCAGAAAATGTAGAGCGAGCACATCATTGGACGTATTCACGCCAAGTTCAAGGTGCTGAAACAGCGCTATCTGCCTAGTCCGCCCTTAGTTGGTCAGCCTGTGCGATTGGCAGGCAGCCTTGCATCCACGCCAGACAGAGCTTTGAATTCTTCAGGCAAACCTGCCCTCTTTCTGGGAGGGTTTGCCATTTTGGGTTGTGCCAATGTCGTGATTTGTGTCACTAGCCCACCTTCTCTAATCCTGCCTGCCCCTCCCCCCTCAACATCCCGCTACATAGGACACTGATGTTGGGGAGTATGGATTTGGTTGAGAGATGAAGATTTTCATAGGGTATGTGTATTCTTATATTCATATTCTCTTTTATTCTTATATTCCTGTCTATATAAGGCATCCTGTGAGTTTCTCTCCATCATCACCTCCACCAGATACATGACACTTGGGAAGTGTAACTGTTTTAGTGTTTTCTGTCGATAAAATTCTGTAATTAGTACCATCATAATTGGCAGCACCAGGCCCAATGGGCTCTAAATTAGGCCCTGCAGCCAGGGACGTGTTTCTGCAATTATTTATCAAAGTTCCAATACCAAATAGAAATCAGCACTTTTATAAACAGCAATTAACATGATATGCTTCTTATACATAAAGTACTTTATGCTAAATTGCATTATGTGTGGGGACTGGTCACTGAAGCAGTCTGGAAGACTAGAAATCATATGAAGTCTGTATAAATCTGTTTAATATAGGCAGTTCTGTAATGGGCCATAGTCAAGCCATTTATGTCAGGGATAATGCAGACTAGTAACATTAACTTTCACTAAAAAAAATCATAACACAAACTTCTAGTATATTAATTGATCAATTAAAAAGAATATGATCCATAGGCTATGGAAAAGAAGGATAAAAAAAATCTATTGGAAAGACAAAATATTAACTATACACACTGTCAGTAAAAAAGGGGACAAAACACTTTTTAGCTCCATAAGTGAGAAAAGGAAAGTAAAACAATGATTAGTTAGATTAAAAACAAAAGAAGGAAAGTATGTAATTGAGGATAAAGGTCTAGCTGACTGCATTAATTCATATTTTTGTTCAGTATTTACAGATGAAAATGAAGGAAAGGGGCCTCAGTTAGGAAAAAGGTCAAATGAGTAATTTGTTACATGTGAGTTTACAGAGGAAGGGGTTCTATTTCAACTGTCAAATAAGTAAAGACAAATAAGTCAATGGGACCTGATGGAATACACCCAAAGTTATTAAAAGAGCTTGGTGGTGTACTAGCAAAACCATTAACAGATTTATTTAACCAATCATTGTTAACAGGAGTAATCCCAGAAGAATGGAAATTAGCGAATGTTGTGCTTATTCACAAGAAAGGTAGTAGGGAGGAGTCGGGAAACTACAGGCCAGTAAGCCTTACTTCGGTAGTGGGGAAAGTAATGGAAACCATGTTAAAGGTTAGGATTGTTGAACATCTAAAATCACACGGATTTCAAGATCAGAGACAACATGGGTTTACTTCAGGGAGATCATGCCAAACTAATCTTATTGATTTTTTTGATTGGGTAACTAAAATAATAGATCAGGGTGGTGCAGTAGACATTGCTTACCTAAATTTCAGTAATGTTTTTGACACTGTTGCACATAGAAGGCTTATCAATAAACTGCAATCTTTAGGTTTGGATTGTTGAATGGGTAAGGCAGTGGCTGAGTGACAGGCAACAGAGGGTTGTAGTTAATGGAATATATTCGAAGCTTGGGCTTGTCACCAGTGGGGTACCTCACGGATCTGTACTTGGACCCATTCTCTTTAATATTTTTATTAGTGATATTGCAAAAGGTCTTGATGGTAAGGTATGTCTTTTTGCTGATGGTACTAAGATATGTAACAGGGTTGATGTTCCAGGAGGGATAAGCCAAATGTTTTAGGTAAACTAGAAAAATGGTCAAAGCTGTGGAAACTGACATTTAATGTGGATAAGTGCAAGATAATGCATCTTGGTTGTAAAAACCCAAGGGCAGCGTACAGAATATTTGATAGAGTCCTAACCTCAACATCTGAGGAAAGGTATTTAGGGGTAATTATTTCAGATGAGTTAAAGTTAGGCAGACAATATAATAGAGCAGCAGGAAATGCTAGCAGAATGCTTGGTTGTATAGGGAGAGGTATTAGCAGTAGAAAGAGGCAAGTGCCATTGTACAGAACACTGGTGAGACCTGTATCTCCAGAAGGATATTGATACTTTAGAGAGAATTCAGAGAAGGGCTACTAAACGAGTTCATGGATTGCAGGACAAGAGTTACAAGGAAAGCTGAAATGATCTTAACATGTATAGCTTGGAGAAAAGATGAGACAAGAGGAATATGATAGAAACATTTAAATACATAAAGGGAATCAACACAGTAAAGGAGGAGACTATATTTAAAAGAAGAAAAACTACCACAACAAGAGGACATAGTCTTAAATTAAAGGGGCAAAGGTTTAAAAATAATATCAGGAAGTATTACTTTACTGAGAGGGTAGTGGATGCATGGAATAGCCTTCCAGCTGAAGTGGTAGACGTTAACACAGTAAAGGAGTTTAAGCATGCATGGGATAGGCATAAGTTTATCCTAACTATAAGATAAGGCCAGGGACTAATGAAAGTATTTAGAAAATTGGGCAGACTAGATGGGCCGAATGGTTCTTATCTGCCGTCACATTCTATGTTTCTATACACCTTAATGTAAAAAGGATTACGTGTAGTATTCTGTTGTAGGATAGACATCATCATATATGTCAGTATAAAGCAGTTGCTATCTAGAATCACAGAGATAAATTATCATAATAGGTCAGTATGGTATAGAACGAAAAAAAAAAAAATCATGTTACAATGTATGCCAACACATAGGGCATAATGAAATCTCTAATATTAAAAATGTCACACAAAATGTATTATAAATAAATGATCCTCTCTCCATTATCAAAGACAATTCATTTGGTCTTCAGTAAGTCGAGAGCCTTGTGGTGATGATAAATATAAAATTTACAATAACATGTAAAGTGTGTAAAAGTAAATACTGCGCTAGACTTTTTTTTACCACATTTCTCTAAAAGGATGATTCTCTGTCATTTAATAGTCTTAGCAAACTCTGTACTCTGGTTTGGGAAGGACAAAAGCCAGGACTGCATCCACAATAAAAGATGGCATGTAGGAGGCTGGTAGCCACACCAGTTTGGCATCCCAACCTGGGCTATATCTGGTTCGCGGATATGAAGCTTGTAAAGCATGTTCAATGCACTTTGGCACTTTGGAGATGTCAGGATCACAGATGAAATTCATGATAATCCTTTGTACTTTGAGATCTAAAAATTAACACAAGCATAAGAAAAAAAAAAGTTATTTACGGTAAGTGACAAAAAGCTGTATAAAATTATGATTAATATGGACATAGGAGCTACATCACTAACTCAAGTTACATCGAAAAACTACTAACAGTACGCTAATACAAGATACCATAGGCTACACCATGACACTACCATTAATACCTAAACATAAGTTGCTACGCTTTGATTCAACATATTTGTTGGCTTGTAACCTTCCCAATATTTATGATGCACAGTATAGATTTTATTAAAGACACGGAGGCTCATATTATGCATAACTCTTTCTTTATTTCCTCAGCAGCAAAGATAGAGGAATATAAATATTATCAAATTGAAAGCAAAAAACTGTATAAGTACACAGGCAACCAATAGCATAACATAGGAAGTGGCTATATAAGGCCTGTGTCTCCCACAATCCCCCTCTTTCTTTGCTGCTTCCTCAGACAGCTAAGTACCATTATTGAGCTCTCTACTCATTGCTTTTTATTAGTATTATTTGTTGTGTTTTCTGGTTTTGCGTCATGCTCATTATTATTTATTGTTTTATTGCTTGTCTTTTACTCTTGTTGCCTGGATCGTTGGTGTATTTGGGGACCTCCCTGGGGCGTTTTGCCCGCGGCCGCGGGCTCTCTCTCTTCCCCTCCCTCCCGCCCCTATCTCTCACCGAGCGCTTCCCAGCGCTGCCCTCTGCCGCGGCGGTTTTCTCTCGGCACCGCGGCTGAGTGCGCTCGTGTTTTTCCCTTTCACAGACTACCCGCGCGGGTAGGTGCGCGCGCGCCCCTTCCCCCGCCGGGGGCCTCTACACGTGTGCAGTTTGTTATTAGACGGCGGCCATTTTGGGTGATCGCTACGCATCGCTCAGTGTCCTGCCGTGCGGTCTGTTCTCTCTGGGTCTCCCTGCTACACCAGCGATCAGGTCCTTTGTGTTGTTGCTGGGTTAATCAACCCACTTATTTAGTTTTCACCTTTATTGTTCAGTGCCGTTTTTCTAGTGTCTCTGCCATTATGCAGGATAGGGAGGATGGGCCTACTGATCCCTCTGAGGATTTTCCTAATGTTAACCCTGAGGGTGCTATGGCATCTCAGGAGTTTCAAGCCTTATTAGAGGCCACTATGGCTTCCTCCCTTCAGAAGGCTATTGCCTCAGCTATGGGGGCTGTCTCCTCCTCCTTTACCCAGTCTCTGCAATCTGGGTTTTTGCCTTCCACGGCTACCCCTGCCCCCCTGGGTGTGGGGTCCCCTTCTCCTGCCCATACTGTGCCGGGTGCCCGTAAGGCGAAGGATAAATCTCGTCATATCGGTTCCCACTCCTCGATGCAGGTTTTGCCTGCCATGACTGACTTGCCTCTGGCGGTCACAGATAGCGCGCATCCCACGCGCACAAGAGCCCCTGGCCGGGCTAAAAAGGCTAGATTGTGGAAACGGGCTAGAGCCCTGGATGATGAGTCGGATTCCGACCGGAGTGTGGAAAATGAATCCGATTTTATGGAGTACGACTCCTTTGTTGATGACGAGTCGGGAGAGGACATACCCCCTACGGGGGCTCCCCCTTCTAGGTCCTCTGCCAACCCCCGAGGTAAGGTCACTGGCCCCGCTGGGGACAATATAGCCCTGCTAGACCCACAGGGTAACCCCATGTTTGACCCGGACGACCTCCGTCACCCGCGGTCTGCCGAATGGGTCCCTCCGGACCACATCGCCCAATATGTGGCTAAGCGAATTCGCACGCCACTATCCAAAGAAGGCCGCAATAAGCTGCGCGCCGAGTGCCCACGGCCTTCTCTCCCTGGCGCTGCCTGCAAAACCCCAGAAATCGACCCACAAATCGCCCAATTTTTAAATAAATCTGGCTGGAAACCTAAGAAGGGTCTTGATCATTCCCTGAAGGGATGCCAGGATAGGATCCTGGATACGCTGGGCCCCCTGTCGAAGCTGTACGAGCTTCTTGATGCCACTAGATCAGGGGAATCTGTTTTGGATGTGGATGTGGCCATCGGGTGGGTCCAACGGGCTATATGCCTTCTGGGTAACGCCAACACGGCGGTGTCCTCCGAGAGGCGCAAGGCCATTCTACTAAAGATTGACCCTAAATTGGCCGCTATGTCTGTGGCGGAGCCTGATTCGGCTGATGAAGGTCTGTTGTTTGGCACATCCTTCGTGAAGGACATGGGGTCATATGTCAAGACCTTTACGGCTATTGACAAGGCGCAGGCAAATATGAAGCGCGTCTTCGCGCCCAAGGTTTTCAGAGGGGCCGGGCGTAACAGGAACCGTCCTCCCGGCCGTGGTTTCCGAGGCTCATTCCGTGCCACCAGAGGTTCCTTTTTTCCCTCCAGAGGGTTCCAGGACCCGAAAACTCCTTCCTTCTTCCCGGCAAGGGGGAGATCGTGGGGCTCCAGATACCCCCGTGGTGGAACTTCGGGCAGACGCCCTTATGGTGAGTACCCTTTCTTCCCCTCTCGATCAGGTTCGGGTGGCGGGGAGGCTGGCCTTTTTCTACCTAAGGTGGGCAGATATAACTGCGGATGCTTGGGTTCTGCAATGCGTAAAGGGTTATCGCCTAGAGTTTGTTTCCCTGCCTGTTCAAATTTCTGTTCCCAGGGAGTTGTCTCTCCCACCGGAACAGGACGCGATGATCTCCGCGGAGGTCGAGGAGATGTTTTCAAAGGGTGCCATAGAAGAATTGCCGTTCGCCGCCCCAGGCTTTACGAGCAATCTCTTCTTAGTACCCAAGAAAGGGGGCGGGGTCCGCCCGGTTATAAATCTTCGCCCTCTCAACGCGTTTCTGCGCTACCAACATTTTCAGATGGAGGGCATCCATTGTCTCAGGGATCTGCTGCGGCAGTCGGATTGGATGGCCAAATTGGACCTGAAGGACGCGTACTTCACGGTCCCAATAGCGGTGGAATACAGGGACTACTTGCATTTCACCTGGCACGGACGGCGTTGGCGTTTTACATGCCTGCCATTCGGTCTCTCCTCGGCCCCTTGGTGTTTCACCAAGGTGATGAAGCCGGTGGTGGCGTACCTCCGTACCAGAGGTTTCGCCTCATTATTTACCTGGACGACATTTTAATTATGTCCCAATCGAAAGAATGCCTGGAGTTGCATCTGAGCTGGACTATCAACCTTTTGCAGAATCTAGGTTTTCTAATCAACTGGGACAAGTCGGTCATGACCCCCGCCCAGTCGATGGAGTTTTTGGGGTTTCAGGTGGATTCCATACGGCAATTCCTCTACTTGCCGGAATCAAAGATGAAGGCCATTCAGAAAGAGCTCCGGCGAGCTCTCCGGGCCTCAGATCTCTCGTTACGTCAGTTGGCGAGGATCATCGGCCTACTGGCATCCTCCATTCAGGCGATATTCCCTGGCCCGTTGCATTATCGAGCCCTGCAGCGGCTCAAGGGGTCACACCTTCGTTCAGGCCACTCTTACGAATCACGGATTCGTTTGGACGAGGAATCCAGGGAAGAGATAGCCTGGTGGCTAGCCCACATGGAGGCCTGGAACGGAAGGGCAATTTTCGGTTCCCTTCCGGACGTAGTCATAGAATCGGACGCCAGCTTATACGGCTGGGGCGCTCGTTGTGGCAACGCCTCCACGGGAGGCAGATGGTCCGACGCAGAGAAGTCATTACACATCAATTGCCTGGAGCTCCTGGCAGGAGCCTTTGCAATCCGCAGCCTTACCCCGGGACGGGCAAACTGTTGCGTTCTCCTCAAGCTGGACAACGTATCAGCGGTCCGATACATCAATCACCTGGGTGGCACCAAATCCAAGATGTTGGCTCTTCTGGCAAAAGAGTTTTGGCAATTCTGCCTTTACAACAACGTCTCTGTGACGGCGGAGCATATTCCGGGTCTGGACAATTCGACTGCGGATTGGAATTCCAGACATTTAAGAGACTCGGGAGACTGGCGCTTGCACGGCTCGGTCTTCCGAGGCCTAGAAGGTCAATGGGGTCGTTTCGAGATGGACCTGTTCGCCTCTCGGCTGAACGCTCAGGTACCGAAATTCTACAGTTGGAGGCCAGATCCGGCGGCAGTGGCGACGGATGCCTTTCTTCAAGAATGGCCCCCGGGTCGCCTCTATGCCTTTCCTCCGTTCAACATGATTGCTCGCACACTCTCCAAAATGGTTCGCCACGACTGTTGTCTGGTTCTGATCACTCCCCTGTAGAGATCCCGTCCGTGGTTCCCTCGACTGATGGAGTTGTCGATAGACTTCCCACGGTTGTTGCCGAACTTCCCGGATCTCCTCCTGGATCCGGATGGGAACTCGCACGAACTGGTGATGCGGCACCAGTTGCCCCTGGTGGCTTGGCTCCTTTCAGGGGACGCTGGATTGTCCCTAACGTTCCACAGACAACTCTCTTGCTCCTCGATAACGCGTGGGCCCCGGGCACACGATCAGCTTATCGGGCAGCATGGAAGTCTTGGTCGGGTTGGTGCATGGAACGGGCAATGGATCCCGTATCTGCCCCTTTCCATCTGATCATGGAATTTCTCACGTCCCTGTTCGATTCGGGCAAGGCGTACAGGACTATCAATCTTTTTCGCTCGGCCATTTCGGCCGGACACGATGGTTTAGAAGGCACACCCGTCGGTAGGCATCCTTTTATATGTCGCCTTCTTAGAGGTATTCGCCTCGCCCGTCCACCCCGGTCGCGTTTTTCGGCCTTTTGGGACGTCAACATAATGTTGCAGTTCCTATCGGCTTGGTACCCTAACCAAGCATTGACTCTCAAACAGCTGTCATCCAAACTGGTTATGCTGCTTTGTCTTATCTCTTGTAAGAGAGTCTCCGATGTCAGGGCCCTGGATTGGGGTGCCATCGTGTTTACTCCTGAGGGTGTTACTTTCAACATCTCTAGGACTAAGTCGGCATCCAAATCCTTCGTGTACCCTAGGTTCTCAGGGTGCCCGGCACTCTGTCCGGTGGATTGTCTTAAGGCTTATATGGATGCTACAAGAACGTTTCGTTCTTCTGATCGTCATCCCCTATTCATTTCCTTTAAGGCACCTCATCAACCGGTGTCGACTCCGACGCTAGCGCGTTGGATTCGTTGGCTTTTATCCCTAGCGGGTATAGACACTTCTACCTTTACGCCTCACTCCGTGAGGGGTGCCATGGCCTCGAAGGCATCTTTAGTGGGTTGCCGTCTGGAGGACATCATGCGAGCTGCAGACTGGTCTCGTGAGTCCACCTTCCGAGACTTCTATTTCAAACCAATTGAACACATCGCATCTCAGATAGTAGCACAGCTTTGAACTTGCATAATATGAGCCTCCGTGTCTTTAATAAAATTCCTAGATTTTACTAGTATCATGACGTAAAGTCATGATTTTATTAAAGACACGGAGGCGAGTATTATTCCCTCCCACCCTCCCGGTGTGGGGGTTTGCGAGGGAGATGCGCTTTTTTTTTTTTTTGGATTTTCCAGGTATGTTACATTTTGGTCCTCTTTTTTGTCTTGACTTTCGTTTGAAGCATATAACTGCTTGATGTCAATCATATGTTGTAATTTCAGATTTCGTTTCAGTTTCATGAATGACCAACAGTTCTGACTGGTAAGCAAACAGTTTGGGTTTAGTTATTACCATATTTCTCTCTCTCTTTTAGCTTGAAGTTGTTGAAGCGCTTCCGTTCCTGTTTCTGACCATGTGGGATATCGTTTCGTCTTAGCTGGTCCTCGGTTTTCGCAAGAAAGAGGAGGATTGTGGGAGACACAGGCCTTATATAGCCACTTCCTATGTTATGCTATTGGTTGCCTGTGTACTTATACAGTTTTTTGCTTTCAATTTGATAATATTTATATTCCTCTATCTTTGCTGCTGAGGAAATAAAGAAAGAGTTATGCATAATACTCGCCTCCGTGTCTTTAATAAAATCATGACTTTACGTCATGATACTAGTAAAATCTAGGAATTGTTTTCTCTTAAAGGACCACTCTAGGCACCCAGACCACTTCAGCTTAATGAAGTGGTCTGGGTGCCAGGTCCTTCTAGGGTTAACCCATTTTTTTAATAAACATAGCAGTTTCAGAGAAACTGCTATGTTTATCAATGGGTTAAGCCTTCCTCCAAATCCTCTAATGGCTGTCTCATTGACAGCCGCTAGAGGCGCTTGCGTGCTTCTCACTGTGAAAATCACAGTGAGAGCACGCAAGCGTCCATAGGAAAGCATTATGAATGCTTTCCTATGCGACCGGCTGAATGCGCGCGTAGCTCTTGCCGCGCGTGCGCATTCAGCCGACGGGGTGGATCGGAGGAGGAGAGGAGGCAGAGAGCTCCCCGCCCAGCGCTGGAAAAAGGTACGTTTTTACCCCTTTCCCCCTTCCAGAGCTGGGCGGGAGGGGGACCCTGAGGGTGCGGGCACCCTCAGGGCACTATAGTGCCAGGAAAACGAGTATGTTTTCCTGGCACTATAGTGGTCCTTTAACTCTTTGACTTGCCTCTCTTGCCTGCGAGTCCTACCTCTTTACTGCAACCTAACAAGTAACGAGAAGGTCAACAAAAATGTTAATAAAAATGTAATTTAGAAAAATTTCAATTATGATTAATAACACACCGGATGCCACCAGTTTGTTAAAGGAACACTCCAATTAAAAAAAATATTATATGTGTTTTTGTCTCTTTTTTTAATTATTATTTGAAGTCTTTCTTAAATTTTTCAAGTTAAAAGAGGAATTTACACCACTGTATAAAGCATCGACAACGTATAACCTCTGCTGAACTTTGTTTAATGAGATGCTTCTTTCTTTCTCTAAATTTATATTAAAAATAAATAAATAAATAATACAGAATCATCCAATTGAGACAAGGTAAAGCCAGGGCAAGCATTGTAAACGAGAAGGAGAAATTGAACGAATGTTTTAATTTCTTCTCAATATGCTTTCTCTTTGCTGACAATATTTGTTGTAAAAGTACAAAGTTTACAACAATTACCGATAAGTAAGACAGAGCCACCCAGTTGCAGAACAAAGAGGTGTGAATTTCTACATTTCATTTTATTTTTCACACCTCACAAATAGATATATTTGTTAAAGGAACAGTTTAAGCAACATAACAAAAACAGTGCTGTTGTGGTTATGGTGCCAGTTTTGCCCTGGCACCCCTCAGTATAAGTGGTCCTCCGGTAGGAAGGCACTCGGACACTCCTGTCACCATAACCACTACAGTGTACTGTAGTAGTTATGGTGCTTGAAAAGCTCTTATATGACATATAGTAAATCAGTCATTTACACATCAACTATGTAAATGTATTCACTGTTTAAATGACCGTATTACTACATGTCAATCGGTATGTGTTTTCTACTGTATCATATGTGAATTGTTATTTTAAGAAAAATAAAAACAAAACAAAATTGTAGTTTGATTTTTAATTTAGCGTACTTAAAATCAGCTATAGTTGCAGCGTGGCTATTTTTCCAATTTAAAAACCCTCTATTTATATGTTATAAAGATACGTACATTGTTTAAAAAAGGTATGTCCATAGCTTCTTTGTGTTTCAGGTGGCATCTGGTCCCATAGCTGCTGCAACGACTTCTCAATAGAGTCGAGATTTGTCACTGCAGTCTTGAAGAAACCTGGCTCTATAATGCAAACCTTAACTCCAAAGTGCTGCATGTCACGCCTGTAGGAAAGAGATGTGCGGAGTTAGGATTCTGTCCTTGTCAGCCAGTTGATCACACAGTAGCATTTTGGCATGCAAGGTAGCATACTTGGACCTTACTTGGTCTCATCTTTATTCATTGTATCTTCTTGTGACCAATGTGACAGTAGATTATTCGAAATACACTTACTTGAATTTATATAGACATTAAATCTAGAAAATCATTTAAACTTTGGATATTCGCCTTAACATTAAAATGACAACTTTGTAATTGTTCAACAATATTCAGACACTTAAGCCTTTGCTAAATATGCCTTACTTACAGGAACACTCCAAGCACTGTAACAACTACAGTGCACAGAGTGATTGGCGCCCTGCCATGTAAGTAGTCAAACCATTTGGTAACCGTTTGACCAGGGCTGGTTTTGTTCTCCTTGCTGCCTTGAAGTCAATATTCTCAATGCAGCCCCCACCTTTCATATAAACATATATGCAAAATATTTGGTGTGATTAGATAGGTCAATGTGACTACTTTGTGGTGGTATGTAATTGGTTGGGTGAAACGGGCTAGTTTGGGAAATTTAATTAAATGTATAAATAATTAGTTTGGTAATGATGAGTAGATCTGGTGATGTTGGTGAATCTGACTAGGTGAATGATTGGATGATAAGTGGGACTGGGCTGGGAGAGAGTTGAGAGTGTTGTGTATTTATGTAGAGGCTGCTTGTGAAATTTAATGTGTGTGTGGGTGGCTGCTTGTGGTTTTACATGTGTGAAGGGAGGCTGCATTTGGTGTTACATATTTCTGGGGAAGCTACTTGTGGGATTCGGTGTATATGTGGGGATGATGTTTGGGAATTATGTGTGTGGGAGGGAGGCTGTTGTGGGTTTGTGAGTGTGTGCATGGTGCCGTTTACAGTTTAATATATGTGTGTGTGAGTTTAGGGGAATAGGGCCTTTAGGGTGTTTTCCAGGGGATAAGGGCTGTAGGGCATGTTTGGGAAGGAAATTGGAGCTGTAGTGTATATGTGTGATAGGATTTGGCCTGTAGTGTATGTGTGCAGGGTAGGATATGGTCTGTAGTGTGTGTTTGGGGGAATGGGGCTGTATAAAGTGTTTTAAGGGGGATAGAGGCTGTAGTGTGAGTATGTGAGGAGGAAATTGGGGCTGTGGTGTGTGGGGTGGATAGGAGCTTTCGTGTATATGTGTAGGGCGGTTGGTAGGGCCTATTGCATGTTTGTTGGAGAAGCTACAGGCTTGTATGTGTGTGTTTTTGTGTGTGTTGGGGGGGTAATAATGTTTTTGTGTTAGGGAACAGGGGTTGTTATATGCATTGGGGGGTGGTAGGGACTGTAGTGTAGGAGGAAAGAATAAAAAAAAAAACATATTATGAAAAATAAAGTTGCTTATTCTCCCCTGCCTTTTGCATGGCATGGATTCTCCCCTGGACTAAAGATTCCATAAATAAGGAATTACATTACCAGAAAAGACTGATTTATTATAATTTTCAAATGTCATTAATATTGTGCTATATTATAATTGTGGTTTTTTTTTTATCTCCTCTGCTTGGAAAACCAGGGCTCCCTATTTTATAAACTGCCTTGGTGGTGGCAGCTCTTGATACTGAAGTTAAGTGTGGGTGGTATTAAAGGGACACTCCACTGCTCAAAAAACCCCCAAAACAAACAATAGTTGATATACCCTAAATGAAAGATTTCATGCATTTCATTACACTTTTTTTTATTGGGGGTCTATCTAAAAATAGCTTGCAAAAACTGCAGATCTCTTGTCTGAAGCCTTTGGAAGCCCTCCTCTTCTAACCCCTCCTAGACCTTCTGTAGCTGTCCAATAAAAGATTTCCCAATGCAACTCATTGAGAAGTTTTTGTAAGGCAGGTGCTCTCGGCAGTTGTCTGCCTCGTGGGTTTAGCTCCACAAAGGAGGTAAAAGGAACGGTTGTCTGATTGACAACCGGGGGTGAAATTTGCACGATTTGTAAAATAAAAAGATGGACACACTTTTCACATATAAAGCATTTCTGCAAGCTAAAGTGCTTTAGGGATCTGGAGTGTCCCTTTAAGAGGGAATGTTATCATTATTTTTGGTCTACTGCAGACAAATAGTGATTTTTCACCCCCGGAACCAAGCCAGAAGCACACTTAGTAGTGTGCATTTGTGACACCATGGTCTTTGCTCTGCTATTATACAATATCCCCTAAAATTGCTCTTTAAATTTAAATGTAGGTCCCAGGACACCACTGGTTGTTCCATATAATATGTATTATTATGTTAGCATACACATTGTACTGTGAATGCTTTGTGTTTTTGCAGCATGGATTATACATAATGTATACATTTCAGAGGTAAATGAATTAAGTGAACTTCTAAATATTGTCCCAGTCTCAGTCTTTTATACAAGGCCTCATGTATAATGCATGCTTAGCTGAAGAGAAGACTGGCTATTGAATGCAATATAAGGACCTCTATAAAAAGATGCTACTATATTATGAGAAACACACAGAGGGGACTTCAGCAGACAATATTTAAAAGCACTCTCTATGCATCATAACTACTGCAGCTCATTGTAAGAATTATGATGCAATTCATTTTATTTGCAGTATTCCAATGTTTGAGTGGCCAAAGTGCAGCCCATTCAGATCTCATCTTACCCATACAAGGTTGGACAGCATTATCTGAGTGGCTGCTGGGGAGGTTGGGCTTTGGGTGCCTGTAAGAGTACCACTGAAAAATAGTTTTGGCAAGAAATAAAAACTGAGGTGCTGTACCCAATGAACTATAGTGGTTATGGTGCTTACAGCTTTACTTTAAATATGAGAGGCTAGTTTGGTTGCATTATCCAGCTGTGCATAAGTGTTTGTTGATGGAGTTGTAAAAGAAAATTAAATGCATATATACCATACACATAATACCAACAACACACACTAGCACCTTGGCAATGCTATTCATTAATATGGGAGCTGATGAGGGAATTACATGTTTTAGGGCAAAACAGACAAATTGTAAAAGTTCTCCAATAAGCACCTATTTTGGCTTCAATTTTCAATCCCTACATGCTTATCCGTTGATGATTAATTGTGGACTTGAAAAATTTAAGAAGGTGGATGCACAGGCTTTGCTGAGCCTATGGCAACAAATAAATTAAATAAATCCCTGGGGAAATTTTTTTTTCTTTTCAGTGATACACAACACATTATTGGTATTCTGCACATTATGCAGATCTCCCTAAGATTTTGGTATAGATACAGTTATAATTTTATAGGATGTTGCATTATTTTCTTAAACTAAACAAAATAAAAAGGACATTGATTCACCTCTTGAAAAGATAAATAAGAAAAAAGTGAGTAAATAGAAATCTATGAATTCACTATACAATTTAAAATAACAGATTTTGTTTTAAACCTTCTCTGATAGACATGGATGGCTCAGTATTGTGCTTTGGAAAAAAAAATTAAAATAAAATTCTACAAGTAAAATGATTTGCTAATTCATAGCAGAAAAAAAACTTGGATGCATTTCGCCAAGATTTAGGAACTCTTAAGAGTCAAAGAAAGATACAAAACTGGCATTATATAACGAATTTATCAAACAATGGAACAACCTACTTGGGCAAATAGTGAAAGCAATAGCTGACATCATTGCTAAAATATTTTTCTTTTATCACAAGGAATGCGAAGGACACAAATCACACTTAAATGTGTTTGCATGTGATGACAAATAGCTGCTAGCTATTTACTTTTTAAAAGCCAGTTAAATATTTAAAAGTGTTCCTAATGCATATAAATATGCAATATATATATATATATATATATATATATATATATATATATATATATATATTGTTTCTTAAATTTTAAAATTTGACTGAATTTGAAAGAGCTAAATTAGATTAATATGGTCATATCCATTATTCCAGAGAATAATAATATTCACAGATCAAGTAGCTATTTAATTACTTATGTGATTTATAACTACATGGTACTAGACTAGGATTGAAATAGACTAGGATTCTACTTGGTGTAGAAAACTTGTTTTGCAGCTATTGTGTGTCAGAATTGTTTATCCAACCCTCAGGAACTTGTACCTGTAAAATATCTAGGGTCTTTAGAGCTACAGTACAAAACAAAAATAACTGTTATAAGTTGTCAAACTAGAATGTGAGGACGATTTAGAATTCTCGTATATTAGAAACTTTTTAAAGAAATGAGAACCTACTTTTGAAGAAAGGGATATGAAAAGGAACACTTCAATGCTTTAATGTTAATAAACATTTATTTTTAATGTTGAAATGTTCCTGTTTTATTTTAGATTTAGGCATCCCCCCACTTTTTTTTAAATTAAAAACAAAAACCAAAAAGAAAAAAACACACACAAAAGTTAGCCAACCTTTTTTCTAGCACTGTTCTCCAGGCTGGAAATCTATGGTGACATCATTGTTACTCATCATCTCTATCCGATCCAATATTTTTCATAGAGATACACTGTGGGCATAGGATGCGTGTGCAGAAATCGCAATTATTCTCATAGAGAAGCACTGAAGCAAAAATAGTTCAATGCAGGTGAGAAATTGTCTTACTGCGGTCAATTATAATAGAGCCAATTTCTTTTGAAAAGCAAGGTAGACACAGATACAGGGAAATACTTGAAAACTGTTTTCAATCGACCAGGACATATTTGGTACTCTAAGCAACATAACCATCACAACTTGGTGTGTTTGTTATGCTAGTAGAGTCCCCTGGGATCTTGGTTTTTACATGAAACCAATTCAAGTATGGCTTGATATATACCAAGGGTGTACCTGCAGCCGAGATAATACCCCCAACTTTGCCACTTTTATAATATGGAATTACCATTCCCACGTTATCATTGGCAGTTTCTTCCAATCTGGATGACAGTCTTTGGCTGAGAGTGCTAAATGAATGTGGTTTACCTGAGACTGTCAGAGAATGCCTCCACAGCGTATTTAGATACACAGTACCCGCCTCCGTTGGCTGAGATCCTCCCAAGAACACTTGCCATATTCACAACACGTCCCTGTGCCTTCTTTATTAGTGACAGAAAACTTAAGGTCACTCCAATTGTCCCAAATGTGTTAACTTCCATAACTCTCCGATAGTCCTGCAAAGTCATCCATTCAGTGGGGCCTATAGGATTGGCAATGCCAGCATTATTAACCAGACCATAGAGACCTGTAGGAGATATATTTAGAAAGGCTCGTGAAAAGGAATAATGAAGCAATATTAAAATACTGAAAATACATTTTTTTGAGTCATAAGTACTACATTTTGTAGTCCTTACGGACAGGTATCCATTTTTAAACTCTTTATTTTGTGGTGAGGATGGCGGTCGGAATCTTACTTGTGAATGTACCTCACCCCAATCTGGCAGAACTTCTTTACGTTATACATCTCTTTATTTATTTTTTTTATATATAATACAAGTACAGTAAAAAAACTGAAGAAAAATAGCAAAACAGTTTTAGAAACAGCAGAGTAAAATAAGTACACAAATGCAAGTAAATAATAATATAAGAAACAGAAAATAAATTCTCCCATCCCCTTTTTTCTTTTTATCTTCTCTTCCTATCTCTCAAGCTCTCCTTTCCAATACATAATGTGTTGTAGTGCTCATATCATAGTATTTATCATTCTGGAGAGAAAGAGAAAAGAAGCGAAAAAAATAAAAATAAAAAAATAAATAAATATATATATATATATGTGTGTATATATATATATATATATATATATATATATATATATATACACATACATGCATACATACACACATTATTATTATTATTATTTTAGTATTTATATAGCGCCAACAAATTCCGTAGCGCTGTACAATGGGTGGACTAACAGACACATAATTGAGATCAGACCACTGGACGTACAGGAACAGAGGGGGTTGAGGGCCCTGCTCGATGACCTTACATGCTAGAGGGAGTGGGGTATAGTGACACAAAGGGTTAAAGTAGGGGAATTAAATAGTTTGTTAGACGAGGGTTTATTGAGTGCTTGGTAGTAGGTCATTTTAGACAGTTGCAGGAAAGGAGTCATGGGGTGGGGGATGAGAAACCTGATGACAGTTTAATTGATACGCTTTAATGAAGAAGTGAGTTTTCAAAGATTTTTTGAAGGAGTGACGGCTGGGTGAAAGTCTGATTGAGGAGGGAAGGGAGTTCCACATAGTAGGTGCAGCCCTGGAAAAGTCTTGAAGGCGAGCATCAGAGGTGGGGATCCGGGCACAGGATAGGCGTAGGTCTTGGGCTGAGCACAGGGGTCTCGATGGGATATACTTGTGTATGAGGGAGGATAGGTATGTTGGAGCAGCATTATGTAGGGATTTGTAAGCAAGCGCCAGAATTTTGAATTGGGCCCTATATCTAACTGGAAGCCAATGCAGGAACTGACAGAGCGTGGAGGCGTGGGAGGTGCGACCGGACAGGAAAATAAGCCTTGCAGCCGCATTCATTATAGATTGCAGTGGTGCAAGCTGGGAAAATGTAAGACCGGTGAGAAGGGGATTGCAGTTGTCAAGGCGAGAGAGAACAACAGCATGAACCTATACCTTAGCCGCGTCCGGCGTTAGATATGGGCGTATGCGCGTGTGACGAAGTGCCCTTCGCCACTTGTGCCTGGAGAGGACTGCTTGCCCGCCTCTTGCCCTGTGACTATGGCCCCTGGTTTGTATTGCCCTTTAAAGACATGATTTGGGCATAATGGATTTGTGTTGTGCTGCTGCTGGCCCTTTAAGAACCATCTGGGGACATACTGTGGAGTTACTGGGTGGCCACCATTTTCTGTATCAGAAGCACATGATGAGAACAATGGATGGCAGCCATTTTAACTCACAGACACTGTTTGGACTTTTCAACACGGTGCCATCTTGCCAGTATTTGGTGCACAGAGACATCGTGCGGTGGTTTTGGACTATACAGCAGGGGACACATTATACAGTAATTGTTTTTCATTTAGCCTGTATATGTTCTGCAGAATCTGCATTAAACTGTATTTTCCAAAGTACTGAACGGATCTGGGTGAATTTTGGATATGTGGTTCACCCAGATCCCCCGGTTCCAAGGATATACTTTTTATGGGGTTATTGCATGTTTTGGGGTCCCTGTGATGTTATTTTAGAAGTTATGAATGCTGTAAAAATTGTAATGTTTCTGGCCAGCAGATAATTGAGCTTTGTGTATTGTAGAAACTCAATTATCTAGCCTGGCCCAGAGGAGGAGTTTTGTGTTGCATAAATTGTGAGTTCTGTGTGCCAGTAAATCAGTCTTGTTCCAGCATTAAGCCTTGGCTCATGTTTGGGGGAAGGGATACCTACACTCTGGGGATTGCTATAATCACTTACTCCCCAGAGGAAGCTCTTGCAATAGCTTGATTTGTTCCTGTTCCTGCTCTCTGGGGAAAGAGAGGTTCACCCACTGGAAGCTGGATCCTGGCCTTGGGTCCAGGGTGGGTGGAAACAGCAGAGACCCCGGCGCAGTTGCATCGCTGGAAGTGGGGTCTGCAGTGCTGATGGTGTCGGTTGGAGTGCTTGGAGTCCTCAGCGAGCACTAGGAGCATCGATTGGCGGAGGTACTCAGTCGGAGTGCCAGCGTTCCGTCACATTTGGTGGCAGCGGCGGGATGGCGTCCTAGTGCGAGGACCAGCAGCTCGGAGACACCGGTAACGTGTGGAGTTACGGATTTATAATTGAGGGCAACGCTAGCACTTGTGCAGCGACCCTGGCTTCAGAGGAACTCAAGGGATAGAGCTAGCTACGGGCAGCGTCCCTATCCACAGCAACATGGAAGAGGAGTTTCGCTGGAGGTTGCAGCAGCACTTGGCCCAACAGGACGGGCCTGTATCAGAGGAGTGCATACTGGACTGGAGAGATGTCACTCGTACGGAGATGTGGCACGATGCCCTGGAAAAGGTACAACGGCGGCGGGAGAGAGCCTTCCCAGTGACGAGCAGCGGTTCCAGGTACTCGAGGCCCTGCGCTCCCCTTTCCTAGGGGAGCAACCCTTGGATGAATGGTTGTTGGAACTCTGGGATTTAATTTGGAAGGAGTTGTGGCTAGATGCAGCTTACCGGGCATTAAAGTGGTACGCCACCCAGCGCAACCCCTCGATGACTAACCACTATCTGCCCGAGGGAGAGGATTATAATGGCCCGGGCTTACTGTGGGAGGCCTATGAGGAGGGCGATGACTTTGGATGCCCCACAGAGTTTCGGTTCTGGGACATCCACAACATCAGGGAAACCCTGCTGGATCTTCCCCGAGCGGACGACCTGGGGCCAGACCTGAGTCATCTGGTCGCAATGGAGTGGGGGCTGGAGCAGAGCTACCGACGCCTGTTCAACTTAGCCCAATCACCGTCCCTCGGCCCAGAGGATTACCTGGACACCCTACCCTCTTCTGTCCAACCAGCCCCAGAGATGAGCAACCTTATGGAACGGTCCTGGGAAGACCCACAGATGGCAGGCGGAGATGGAACCGAGGTCTCTCCACCTGCCCCACAGGGATGCTGGGTACCCGGCCCAGATCCCCAGCGGCAGTGTATCTCACAGGGAGAGGAGACAACCGGTCTCCCTTCCCAGCAGCAGCCTGAGTTCCAGGAGGAGGTGATGGTAGATCCCTCCCCCATACAGCAACCAGCGTCCTGGGGAGGGGAGGCAACCGGCCTCCCTCTCCTCCACCAACCAGAGGTACCTGAGGTAGTGGACCTCATAGACGTGTCCTGGGGACACACAGAGATGGCAAGCGGAAATGGGACTGAAGTCTCTCTGCCAGCCCTACAGGGATGCTGGGCAGTCAGCCCAGGTCCCCAGCGGCAGCATAATATACAGGGAGAGGAGACAACTGGTCTCTCTCCCCAGCGGCGGCCTGAGTTCCAGGAGGAGGTGATGGTCGATCCCTCCACCTTACAGCAACCAGCGTCCTGGGGAGTGGGGGCAACCAGCCTCCCCCTCCAACAGCAGCCAGAGATACCGGGAGAGGGGGAAGACAAACCTAACCACACTGGCGCAGATAGGACCGCGGTCTCTGTGCCAGTCCTACAGGGAGGCTGGACGGGCGGTCCAGATCCCCAACCAACCCCACAGGGATGCCAGGAGGAGGAGGTAAGCGAAACTTCCCCTCCCCAGCTACATCCCAACTGGGTCCTGGGGGCAGTGGATGAGCCTGCGATACCCACTGACCCCCTCCCAGCAGAAGAGCTGGCATCTGGGCAGAGCTCTGTTAGCCTCTGCCCCCCCTTTTCCCCCGTATCAGAGCCTGACTTACCACGGGTTACCCCAGTGGAAGAGCTGGCAGCAGGGCAGAGCGCCGCTGGCCTCTGCCCCCCAAGCAACACCAGCAGTTTGCCTAGCTGCACCAGGGAGACCGAGAGTGCTGCGCTGTCCCACTACAAACTTGAACCTACAGGCCAGTACCATTTATTGTGGGGGGGTTACTCTGTGTATTTTTCTTTGTGGGTGGGCTGCCCAACTAATCTAGGTACTGACCGTCAGAAGGTCAGGTACCTGTTTAGTCTTCCCCCCAAAGGGAAGATGTGTGACGAAGTGCCCTTCGCCACTTGTGCCTGGAGAGGACTGCTTGCCCGCCTCTTGCCCTTTAAAGACATGATTTGGGCATAATGGATTTGTGTTGTGCTGCTGCTGGCCCTTTAAGAACCATCTGGGGACATACTGTGGAGTTACTGGGTGGCCACCATTTCCTGTATCAGAAGCACATGGTGAGAATAATGGATGGCGGCCATTTTAACTCACAGACACTGTTTGGACTTTTCGATCTGGGTGAATTTTGGATATGTGGTTCACCCAGATCCCCCGGTTCCAAGGATATACTTTTTATGGGGTTATTGTATGTTTTGGGGTCCCTGTGTGTTTTATGAAACTGTATTATTTCTGGCCAGCAGATAATTGAGCTTTGTGTATTGTAGAAACTCAATTATCTAGCCTGGCCCAGAAGAGGAGTTTTGTGTTGCATAAATTGTGAGTTCTGTGTGCCAGTAAATCAGTCTTGTTCCAGCATTAAGCCTTGGCTCATGTTTGGGGGAAGGGATACCTACACTCTGGGAATTGCTATAATCACTTACTCCCCAGAGGAAGCTCTTGCAATAGCTTGATTTGTTCCTGTTCCTGCTCTCTGGGGAAAGAGAGGTTCACCCACTGGAAGCTGGATCCTGGCCTT